CACAACCATTCTGTATGCTTCCAATGTATCAAAACTTAAAATCATACAAGGGTCAATATCAGGATATTAGTTAACACAACCACTCAGCATGCTTCCAATGTATCAGAATTTAAAATCATACAAGAGTCAATATCGGGATATTAGATAACACAACCATTCAGTATGCTTCCAATGTATCAAAATTTAGAATCATACAAGAGTTAACATCAGGATATTAGTTAACACAACCATTCTGTATACTTCCAATGTATCAGAATTTAAAATCATACAAGAGTCAATATCGGGATATTAGATAACAACCATTCAGTATGCTTCCAATGTATCAAAATTTAAAATCATACAAGAGTTAGTATCAAGATATTAGTTAACACAACCATTCTGTATGCTTCCAATGTATCAGAATTTAAAATCATACAAGAGTCAACATAAGGATATTAGATAACACAACCATTCAGTATGCTTCCAATGTATCAACATTTAAAATCATACAAGGGTCAATATCAAGATATTAGTTAACACAACCATTCTGTATGCTTCCAATGTATCAAAATTTAAAATCATACAGGAGTTAATATCAGGATATTAGTTAACACAACCATTCAGTATGCTTCCAATGTATCAAAAGTTAAAACCATGCAAGAGTTAATAGCACTAATCAGTTAACACCACCACCATGCTCATTCAGTATGCTACCAATGTATCAACAAAAGTTAAAACCACACAAAAGTTGAAGGCAGTATGAAACTATTTATTATTAAACAAATACAAGAATTAAGAGCTTCGACTAGAGAAAGACAAACACAGGGAGGAATAATGTTCCACGTTTAAAATAAATCTGCACTGCTAAACCAGCAGTATTAATTTTTTTTTAGAACAACACAAATCTCTTTGACTCCCTTATCCTTAGATAAACAATATTTTATTTTCATGAAACTCTACCTCCTTCAGCACCACTGCTTCAGTTCAACTAAGAAATTCTTTTTTGTTGGGGCCATATTATGCACCGATTTGTTTTTGTGAAAAAATATGCATTCTCATTTCTGTTAGAAACTAAACTTTTTTCACAAAGTTGATTGTTTTTACCACACTCTCTCTAAATTTCATAATTTTCATTATCAGAAACCAAAAAAAAAAAAGAAAAAAAAGGTATTATATGGGTGGAGTGCACTATTTGACCCAAAGCACAGATGGGTTGACCAGTTATTCCTGGCTTGGACGACAGAGGTTTTCTTCATTACATCACTCAAGTGTTGGCTTTCATCGTTTTCTGTATTCAAAAAAGTCGTCCAGTTTAATTTCTAACAAAACTACCTAAGTACTCATATATAAAAAATCATTGTTTAATTAACGATTTTCTGAAGCTCCTAGTATTTAACACATTGTACATTTTGGAAATAGAATAAAACATACAAAAAAAACTAACAAACTGAGTTGTTACATACAACAATAAAAAACCCAAAAAACAGCCATTATTCATACAAATGGCCTGAAAAACCAGGTGGCTTTTACTAGCCAACCACATATTCTTATTCTAAAAACACTTTAAACAATGACAGCCTAATGAATACTTTACTATACTTGCAATACAATATTTTTACTTTCAGATCAGGCACTTCAAAAACACTCGTTGAATACTTGAATATTAAAAAAATACTGTTACATTATCAACACATATTTCATCATTTCCATATCTATTCTTTTTTTAGAACTGATTAATAACTCTACCATTTCTCATTCTAAACAACCAAAAGGTGACACAATGTTTGTTTATGGAGAGTTTCAGTACTAAGAGGGATAAAAGTCTAAAACTGACAGAAACTTACCTGATTATTTTGGTTTAATACATTTTTTATCATGCTAAAATGAGAACTGGCAAAATTATTTACTGTTATAAACATATTTTCTTTCACATATACCATGCTGCTGAAGGTAAGAGCAGTCTATTTTTCATTTCTTCAATACCAGGGATAAAAGTTTTGCTTTACCCCACTATCTGACTAGCCTAGAACTATGGATATCACTAAAATCCCTTTTTTTAAAACATGTCCAAGTGTGTGGATGTGGATGGTTTTTACAGATGATCTATTAAGCTAGCTGGGTGTCCTAGTGCTGAAGGCATTAGTGCCAATCTGTTCAACTGCTTCATTACCAGGAAGATACTTTGGGTTGTACTTACTACTGAGATGTCCCAGTACTGAAGAGATTACAGAGAGCCTGTTTAAAATTCTTCAGTACCAGGGATGGTCTAGTGGATCTTACTTGCTACCTGGATGTCAACATACTTGTTCCCAAATATCAGATCAGCATCAGGAGCTCCTTTTGGATGTTGGTATCTATGGCGCCTGTCTCGGTTGAGATTGAGGACAGCAGGCCTTTGTTGAGCTGCCAACATCTCTGTACAGTTACAATGCAACATATATAAATTCTTAACAACAAGTTAATAGTATTAATATGTCTGGTAGAGCACAGCGACACATCCCAAGAATTTTCACAAACACTCACATAAAAAAATTATTCTACTTTCAATAACTCAGTCAGGCAAGATTTTTCCACAGATTTTCCAAAAAGACAAAAATTTTAAGTTATTCTTATTCTTAATGGAGATTATAAGACACAAATTTTTATATTAAGATTGTATCACGATTTTTTGTTGCTTTCTTTTCTGAATAAGATTGATTTCCTAAATACACATTTGTATAATACAAATAATTCATCAAATTTTTGAATGTGAAGTGAGCAAACTTTTAAAGTATTTATTGCAGAAAACTTTCAGAAGAATTAGCTCAACATTAATACAAACCTTGGTAATCTTCTTCTTCTTGTCTTTCATTAATGTCTAAAGTAAGTTTTTTCACTTGCTCTTTCTCGGCTCGTTCAGCCTATTTTAATGGGATCACATATTCAATATAAAGACCACAAAGTTGACAAGTTTCTACAAGTTAATAAGTATGTTTAAAAAATGCATAGGCTTAAAGTGAAGATCATATGGTTGAGTTGGTAAGATGTTCTTCAATTTCTTTAGATGATCTTATAATAAACATTCAGCATGAATTATAGTATAACAAGTTGAGGTGACAAGTTGTTAAAAATTGATTAAACAACTTCTGTGGTACCACAGAATGTATTCAAATTGAAAAGAGTATAACTGAGATAACAAGATCACCAACTTCCTTCCTTTTCTACATTGGTTACAATACTGCTTCTTAAAATCACTAACAGTTCTTTATTATAAACTATAACTAATTTCTAAACAGAATAATTAAAACAAGCAAGAAATATAACTTATTTCTTAATAACTTATTTTTATTCCATTCACTAAACTGTTGATTATATCAAATAATTTTATATTTTTTACCTGTTATAACACTAAGTGTTATCCCCCCCCAAAAAGAATTTCCATAGAAAGTATGTTGGAGGCCTCAGCAGTAATTAACTTTTTTTGGACCTCGGGAAGGGGTGTCAATGACATTCCCCAATTTGTTATCTTCTCATAGTGAAAGTTCTGGACACAATTTTTTTTGTATGGCTCATATGTCATTAAGGACCATGTAGCCAACCAAGTCATGGACCCACAAGCAATTCAACACATAAACAGTTTAGAAAAAACATGTTCAAAAAGCTGATGAGCATTTTTATATATTTAAAGCATTTATAACTGGAATAACTTGAAGTGAAACTTAATGTATCAAAGTAGTATGTTTTTACCTTTTCTCGATCCTTTAAGTTCTGAGCCAGATCTGACATGAGAGGAACTTCTAAACTCTTGAACTAAAAAATTCAAAATTAAGGTCACTAGTATACCAGCATGTGTTATTCAGCACAAATTATCAACAACAAAAACAGTGCAAACTTGGTAATCTAAACTACATTGCTTAACTTCTTTTGACAAACTTGGTTTTACACCACCACATAATTATAAGTTCCTTGTTTCTAGTGAGTGTGAATTATGGTGAATCCACAATGGTCAAGGTGGAAGGGAAAGGGACAGAGGATGAATTACTACCTACCCTAATATTTGTGATTCAAACAAACTGCCTCCTAGGAGCATATAAAGGAAAGATATTTGAAATTATAACAGAAAATTCTGCAAAATAACAGCTTAGAATACAAAAAACTAAATGTTTCTGACTATGGGTCACACTGTACAATGTCTTAACTAACATCTTTGATTTCATTTATCATCACTAAAACGTTTCATACCATTTAGTTATTTCTTATCCTATTTGATGCTGGCTAAGTATGAACATTATTTACGTCAAACATACTAAACCTTCAATTTAAAAAAAAGGTAAATAAAAAGAATTTTCTGAGCTGATCTCTCATTAAAACAGTATGACATCGTAAAACAGGAATTCAACATCTCTTTAAGATTAAGTTATCATACTATATCTTAAAATATAAAAGTTTTTTTATTATTTACCTCTCAGTATAACTATTTTCCAAAAGCTAAAAAGCTGCAACAACTGTAACAGTTTTGTTTTCCAAGAACAACTAACATTTTTTAAAAGTATGATAAGAAAGGCAATGTATTTTTTTAACAGCACATTTTGTAAACTGTTTTTCCCCTAATCATTGTCAAATACCATTTCTTATAAATAATAAGCTAACAAATTTCACTACCCAATATGCCAAAGAATTTAGAAAAGTTAGTATAATATAGTCTAATAATCTCTAAATACAATGCAGACACATGAGTTAAGCCCTCATAAGCTATACCATGAGTTCATCTTTTTAATTTATTTAATCTTTAATATAAAGGTAGAAAAAGTATAAACAGTAGATTTACATTTGACATCTTTTATTACTATATTTATTCAGTTAATTAGAAAAACTTAGATAACATTCATTAACCTTATTTTACATTAAAGTGACAAAAGTATAAAAAAAACAGGTGTCCACGTATACAGTAAATATTGTTTGAATTTTTATTATTTAAACACGTAGAAACTTGACCATATTTTTGCATATTTAGAGAACAGGATTTATGTACTTTATTAACCTTTTAAATTCTTTTGTTACCAGAATCAAAATTCAACAAGTTATTTGAAGAGAAATACTAAATTCCAAATATAAACAACACTTGTTTCATACGGTGAAAATGGGGTAAAGCACAAACTTCACATTTTCCTCTTAATATATCTATCAAAAATTTTCTTAATGAATGTTATTTCTCAGGCCAATATATAGCCTCATATCATGTTTTATGATAATTTTGTGAAGTCATAAAAACGTACCTGTTGCTTGTTTCCCTTTCTTGTCATAAGTACAAAGTTAATTGTGTTTTTCTGTTCTTCAATCTTGGGCTCCAGAAATGCAGTAGGAACTAAAAGAGACAAATGAAATTCTAAAAACATCACACCATTTTATCTTAGCAGTTGTCTACAAATGTATTTCTATTCATAACTTTGGTCTTAACTGATTAGGTTATTTATTTCAAAAAATGATTTAGAAAACAGTCATAAGTATTGCTTGTTTATAGTTAAGCACAAAGCTACACAATGGGCTATCTGTGCTTTGCCCACCACGTGCATCAAAACCCATTTTTTAGCATTATAAGTCTGCAGACATACTGCTGAGCCACTGGAATGTGTTGCACTGACACAAACATACAACTCAGACACCACTCAACCAAAAGGATCCTCTACTCCCCCCCCCCCCTTCAAATGTTACTATGTATGGTAAATGTGGTTGGATGACTGAATGTTAGAGAAAGTAAACTGTACAGGAAGAATCTTCTCTAGAAGGTCCCCTCACCGTATACTTTAAGAGGAGAGGTTTACGAATGAATACCATGTTGCATTAAAGAATACAACTATATTCACATCATATGCTATTATAAAAGTTCATTTAAAGTTTCACAATACTTTGATTTTAGAATAAATGTGATATTATATAGCCAGCAAAGAAGGTAAAAAGTTAACATGTCCTTTTTTTAACAATTCATGAACAAAACTAATCCACTAAAACAAAATTCTGTTCATTTGACTATTTACATTTACACTACAGAATTATGACTGATGTATCTTTTACTCACTTGTTTGAACCTTTTTGTTTCCACCTTTTATGTTCATTGGAATGACAATGTCAGTCTGGGGTTTTACGGACTCTTGATTACGTTGCTGAAAAATAATAAAGATCTTTTTGAATCTCAGCCAAGCTAAGCCTTAATGAAGAAGTTATGACAACTATTAATGCCTTCAGGAATATATGAACAAAGAATCTTAATCAGATGCTTTAATTTCTTTCTAAATTCTGAAAAACTTGTGGTTTCACCAAATATTTTCTCCTGATATCTATTTACAATATGAAAAGTTAACATTAATTTGCAATTATAAAAAGAATTAGTGAATTAACTTGTGGAAACTGTTTATATTTTCTGACAAACTGTGCTTGAAAATCACTTCCACATTAAACACCCTTCTAAAGCAAGCATTTTGTTCATTTAATGTGTTTTTTGAGCAGTTGATAAGACATTAATGATTTTAGCTTTATATCTAAGAAATTATTTTTACATTAATTCATTCAAAATTAAAAGTATTCCCACATCCAAAAATAGATAAAGTAAACTATATGTAAAAGAAGTTTACAAAAGTATATTTCTTATTGTTCTTTTTATATAGATTTCAACTACCATTCAAAATACTAAATTTACCACCTTTAAGATTTTAATATCAGTTTTGTTTTTATGTGACAAATGTGTTAAAATATTTTTAATGGCACATAATGAAATTTTCTGAATATGTTAAAGATCATTGTTTGTGTTTTATTGTATTTTTTATAGTGCTTAATAGTATGTTTAAAGAACTAATAGAAAGAATTACTTGATAAGTGTCTTGACAAAAAACAACAACATAGATCTGAATAAATCATACATGTATGGTGTATTGGAAAATTAATCTTTACTATAATTCTGAATTTACTGAGTATATCTTCATAAAATTTGGCAAGCACTAAGTAAATATAAAACATCAGATTTTTTTAATATATTATTTTTACTAAAGATATCTCTGAATTTACAAATTCAGCCTGTCTCAGACTCCAACTAGTCTGAGTACAAGGTGGTTTTCATGTTAAGAATAGAAATACTTTTGTCATCTTACAGTTTTCATGTTCCATTTACACAGCCTCTAAAACCTCCCAAATGAATATCAAAAGTTTTCAGTAAAACATTAAATATTATCAATCTTAAAAACTCAAAAATTAAAAAAGACAAAGATTATTTTATACAAGATTCTATAAAAATGAGATTGTTTCCACTCTACAAATTACTAAAATACAATAACTTACTGTACAGGATAAAAAGTGGTAAAAAAAAACCCCCGATGAAACTGGAAAACAATCTCATACACTCTACATGTTTTTACGTATACTACTGCATCATCCTCAGGAGATTGACCATCACACACGTGCCAAAAAACTTTTTGAAAAAAAATCAAACATCATCCCCTATTTTCTCTACCTTAACACTAGCAACAGTGAAATCATCTGTAGCAATACTTGAACTATGTCTACTTACCAAACTAGCATAATTATAAATCACTCAGCAACAGCGTAGCTCAAGTTACAAAAGTATCAAATTACATAACATATGAAGCTTAAGTGCATACCCCATGAAGAAATTATTTCATTTAAAATTCTATTATCTAACCTAATAAGTTCTTAGTTTTTACGTTATAATTACTTTGTTAAAAAAAGTACATATAAATAAATAAAAAACAGACATAAAAACAAGAAATTTACCACTTATCATTGCTTACAGGCATAATTGTAGTCAATAACATATTCTCAGCATACTTTGCTACATCTAACTTTCCCACACTATATCAGTTGTCCAAACAATAATTCATGTAGCTTTCGTACATGAATTTTAAAGGTACTTCTAGCCCACTTGTTTCAAATTTTCACACTTTTTTGAAGTAGTTGCTACTTTAAAATGTCTACTTTCAGTTTCTGCAACATATTTTGTCAAAAACCCCTACATATCCCTGAAAAATGATATTAAAAATCATAATCCTGAACTGAAAATTAAAATCCTCCCATAGCAACTACCCTAGCAATGGAATTCATGGCAATTTGCAACCTCTTTGGTGGTAATTTTCTCAATTTTTGTGACATAAACTCAATGCATAATAAAGTGGTTACTACAATGCTGAAATTGTTTGCTAACTTCGCTGTGGTGAAGCTAACAAAGCTTCAAGTGAACAGTATTCAACTCCATGTGATACTTCTCTGTCTACTATGTCCACTCCTTTGTCTCTTTCAAGTTAAAGCCCTCACTGTAAGGCTTTATTTACTGCCAAAAAGTTTTGGGAATTAGATTTTTCTTTTTATTCTACACTGAAGAAATTTCAGTGGCAAATAAGAAGAATGAGAGAAGAAAAAAATGAAGGTTTCGCGGGAACCAGCACATTGACAAGCCAATGTCTATTTGTAGCAGAACTGAGCCACGTACCACTACATGTGATCAATCTTGAAGACAGAAAATTGTTCAAGTAACGGTGAAACCTTAAAGTGATGGTGACTTTCCAGCTTTTCCCGTACCTGACGAACAAAACCAATTGCAGTTTTTGTCAAATGTTCATGGATTTCTATCAAATTTTCACACAAAACAGCTTGGAAAATACTGTAGAAAATGAAACAAAACACGCATTTTAAAAAGTTACACCCTAATTATAAAAGATTTATAATTGGAGGGTTGATTTGTAGTGTTCAAAATAAATAAATTTTTTGTTTTTCTTTTCTTCTGTGATAGTCTGACATTTGTGGTGTTAGATTCATGTTTTTCTTCTCTTCTTAAGCTGGGTAGTGTTATTAGTTTTCAAGTTATTGTGTTTTTAAATAATCTGAATCCGAGCTCTTAGTATGCGCACACTAATAGAAAAATGTGCATAATTAATTGGAAGTGAATTGTTTTCTGTTGCTTTCAAGTTTATTAAAGTTTGAAGTCCTTAGCTTGTCCT